ACACAAATATTTCTGCTGCTTCTCATGCTTTCTCCATAGGAACATTCATGGCCCACCTGCCCAGCTGCATCAAGCTAGTGTTCCCTGTTGGCATCACATACCTCTGCCAGGGTTCAACTCTAGAAACAGGCTTAGGCTAAGGGTGCCTTCATTCTGTGCTTCTGATGTCTTATCTCCCTCCCCATCCTCCCTGCCACTCCCACACCCACCCCTGTGTCTGGAGTATCATTTTCAATGTTGGGGGTGGGGAGCAAATTCTCCTTCTTCATCTTTCCCCAAAGGCTGATCTATACCCAGAACTTCCCCACCCTCCTAAGGGTTTAGGCTTCTGGAAACCACCCTGAGTCAGAGACTCAGCTCCAGGCCTCTTCTGCCCTTCTCCCTGCCACAAGACCCTCCCCATGACAATGAGCTCAAAGCCAGGGTGTGTTTAAACGGAAAGTTAGATGGAAGAAATACAAAGAAGAAATAAAAAGAACAGAGGCTAAAGACTTCAAAAATACTATCCCTCCACTTAAGGATAAAATAAAATAGCATACGAAAGAACATGCCATGTTTCAAGGCCCTAATAAATGATGGTTATTTTTTTTCCCTCTTACCTGTTGTACACATTGTCTACAGCAATTGTTTGGAAATTAATCACATCGTGCCTTAGAACATGTCATACTGGCAATTTACTCTTATATTTTTATTTTACTCTCAAAGTGTCTCTACTTTATTCTTCCTACTGAGCATAAGTTCCCAAAAAGCATGGTTCACATCTTAAATTGTCTGATGATAACAGAAGGCTAAGCATATAGCAAGCATTTTAAAAATGGGTGCAAATGTAGCCTCAGGAAACCAAAATCTTGTTTGCAAACATTTAAAGAAGGTCCTTTATGGAAGAAATCAAGTTATTTTGTTTCTTAAAATGATTCATAAGCATGTTTGTGTTTAAATGTTAATTAACAGAGGAGTCACGTGTTCTATGCAGACACCCAAGATATTAAAAAGATTACGAGATTTTCAATGTTTTTATTATTTTTAAAATCCTGCATTCCAACATCCTTGAGGGCAAATATAGTTCAAATTTTATGCTGCCTCCTATTGAAAAATGCTTATTGAATCAACATCCTGGAGCCTCGTTGCTAATAGCGTACAACACAGATCTGGAATTCTTGAGTCAAAAATATAGAACATAAGTGTATTTTGCTGAGAGAAAACAGCATGTAGGAAACTGTCTTGGGATCCAAGAGAATTACGGAGTTTGACCTTTTAGTTTATAGTTGCCCGGTGAGCAGGGGAGGGGGCTAGAGGACAGATCTCAATGGGCTTTCTCTCAACCTCACTCTAGACCCGGCTGACTGACACCACCAGCACACCCTAGCTAGTCCTGTGTATGGATGGACATACTCACACCGTAGAGACACATCTCACCATTTCCTACTGGTGTGACCTTAGGCCACTTGCTTCCCCTCTCTGAGCCTAACGGGTTCATCTGTAACTATGAGAATGAGTAACTACCTCCCAGAGATATTATGGAGACTCAATGAAATGATGTATGTTGAGGATGCCACATGTCATGGCGTACCAATTTCATGCCCAGTAAATGATTGTTGTTGTTGTTGGATCTGCTGCTCCGAGGAGGCAGGGAAGAGATGGCCAACTGGATGCCATAGAGGAGCACCTCCACCATTCCACCCAGGTACACACCCTTCATCCTTCCGGTCAACAGAGATGCTCCTTTGCCAGGGCAGGAACATGTTAATGGCTCAGAAGAGCACTTTATCCTGGGGGCTTTGAGGATCTAGATCAGAAGGCCCCAGTTAGCTCCCTCATAGCCTGGGCCATCCCACGTCATGCCTCCAGGCCAAATCTGATAGATTTTCCTGTAAACTGAATGCTTCCAAAGAAACTTTTCCTATTATTTCTAAGGTGATGATGCTTTGAGTGGCAAGTAACAACACTTTATTGGGACAAAATGACTCAAATCGTCAAGATGGATGAGTGGCTCCCCTAGCTGAGGATGGCTTGAGGCAGAGCAGTGAGGAGGTCTGCTCAGGCTCTGCTCAGCCCTGCTGGGCCTCCCCTGGTGCTGCCCTCCTCTGTGCAGTGTCTTAGTCACCTTGTCTGCTGGCAAGATGGTTGCAGCAGCCTGGCCCTCCCTCTTCACATTAACAGTCTCTGAGGAAAGAGAGCAAAAGAAACTTTCTCAAGAGCAAGATGGAAGCTTCCCTTGCAAAGTCAACTCCTCATCCCATGGTAGTGGCCTAAATTTGATCTTGTGATCATTCCTGGACCAATCTCTGTGGCTTATTGAATGCCAGATGCTGGTTGGCTTCATCCTGGATTGCAGGCTGAACCTTGAATCAATCACTGGTGCAATAGGGATGGGCTAACCTAATTAGCTTTAATTTAATAAAAGAGTTCCTCCACCCTAACCTTAGGGCTACCTTTGCAAGATGGAAAGAGTGAGATAAATATTGGCAGGACAACCACAGTGCCCACCATTCTGCTGGTATTCAAGTCATATCTCCTTCAATCTGGCAAGACAATAAGAAGTCTGCTGTGTGCCAGGCAGGGTGCAGGAGGCTGGGAGGACACAAGAGGCCCAGTGTTGTTGAGAGGAATAAATGAGCCGACTTATGCAAAGTGCCTGTTGCAGCACTCAGCCCCTAACGCTAGCTCAGTATTGTCTTCATTAAAATGAATAATGCATGAGTGATCCCTGCCATCCAGGAGAGAAAGACTCAAACTAATAAATTACAGCAGTGTGCACAGGGTGACAAGAGTAAGCCTGAGGGTGGCACCAAGGATAGAGATCGCAAGAGGGGTGTGCAAGAGGCCCAACCGCAAGACGCTGTAGCCTGGTAGTTCTTAACCTTGACTTCACATTAGATTCACCTGAGAAATTTTTATAACTCCCCTATACCAATTAAGTCAAAATCCCTGGGGGTGAGTCCCAGCACCAGGCATCAGTTTGTCTTTTGAAAACTCCCCAGATGATTAAAATGTGTAGCCTAGACTGGGAATTACAATTTTAGGCTATTGAGGCCATAAACACAAACGTAAACCATTAGCCAACAATGCCAGGTGGGGAGGGATATGTTAAAATGAACTGTCAGCATTCCAAGGACCAGGGCAGGGAGGGGGTATGGTAGGATGAGGACTCAGGGCAGGGAGGGACCTTGGTGGGCAGAGGGCTCGGGGCAGGGAAGGGGTGTGCTAGACAGGGGCTCAGGCAGGAGGGGGGCATGGTGGGCAGGATTCAGAGCAAGGAGGGGACATGGTGGACAGGAGACTCAGGGAGGGTTTTCAAGAGCAGCAGGGGACAGGGGGCTTCAGGAGCCTTGAAGAACTGAGATTTGCCTATTCTGGTCAGCTTGGGGTGGCGTGTCAGCACGAGGAGGAATGAGTGTAAGCAAGGGCATGTGGGCAAACATGGAGGGTCTGTCAGTCTTGATCCAGTAGTTTCAACAGAAAAACATAAGAAATTAGTAACTATAACAGGGGATTGGAATAACAAGGGATGAGTAAGAAGTAATGAGAATTCTAAAGAATATAGGAACGAATGGCATTCACTACTCTGAGGGCTGAGACAGCAGCACTCAAGGGAGAGTCTGCCCGCCCCAAGCTGAGGTCTAGACTTTGTCAGCACAGTGTGGCTCCCAGAATGACAAAGAAGTCCTTGTGGTGCCGCTTGTTGGAAATCTGCCCTCTAGGAAAAGCTGGAGAGGCCTATGCAGAGAGGAGTCTCACTGGAGCACACTCTGTTACTTAGGCACTGGCAGCAGGGAGGGTGGGGGAGGGTGCTAGCCATGCATATTGCAGGAGCCACCGAGAGCCCAGGAGAACCTGGAGGCAAAGCCCAGAAGCATGTCCTGTGAGCAGACGGCAGCCTGAGAGCTTATTAAACTTTCCTAAGGGGAATTAGCCAAGCTGAATTCAAGCCAGGTCCATCTTCCGTATGCATTCTGCCTTCTCTCTGAACAAACAGCAGTCAAGATCCAGGCTGGGTTTGTGTAGTCACTCAGATGTAGAAGGAGGCTGTGCTCAGTAAAGTCAGTGGGAAAGACCTCCTGGAGGAGGTGAGGCACTAAAGGGACCTAAGGGGAGGCCTGATTTGGAAAACCAGGGGGAAGGGGGGAGGGCATGGCATCCAGGCTGGCTTTGTAACAGGAGTACTTGGAACACTGGCACAAGGTAAGAGTGGGCTGAACTCCTTTGGGACTCAGCACAGCCAGCAGAGAGAACGGTAGAAAACAGGATGTGGGTAAAGAAAGAAAGGTCTGAGGTGGAACAGCATCAGGGTAATCGTAATATGTCAAAGGCCTCAAGTTTGGGCCGGTGTGAAATCAACACGTTGCAAGAAAGCCAGAGCCCAAGATGTAGTGTTTGTAGGCTTCCTCGATCACATGCCAAGCTCTCAGTGGAATGGAGGGAAGCAAATGCCTGCTTTGGAGTCAGACCAGAACTAGAGTACCAGCTTCGGTGTTTGGCTGTGTGTCCTGGGGCAAGTGCCTTCATCTTTCAGAATCTCTAAGCTCTTCTTCACCTGTTTGTTGGGAAAAATGATACCTTCCTTGCAGGCTTGTTCAGGTGAAGTCCCTGGCAGAGAGATTGGTACACAGCAGGCCCAGACTTTAATCAATGATAGCTTCCTTCTTCCTCCTTGCTTTTACTCTGTAGATCCCTCCTATCTCCAAGACAGCGTGCCCCTGAAAGTAAACTTTTAAAATTCAGAAATGCCTGGTTTCCTAAATCCTGTGCAGCTGGGAAGTGCCAAGGTATTCGCAGCATTAACATCCTCTTGATGAGATTCTAGCTCCTACACTCATCCTGCAGAAGCCTTAGGGGACAGTCAAGGTGTCTTTGGCTCCATGGCCAGATGGTGCCTTGAGGTGGTAATTCCTATCCCTACACCTAAGGGACCGTCAAGGTGTCTTTGGCTCCATGGCCAGATGGTGCCTTGAGGTGGTGGTTCTCCACAGGGTAAGTGACAGTGCTCTTTTTCTTTTTAGGAGGAGAGGTCACCAAACCACGGTTTGCTCAATTCTTCCATGGCAGCCTAGCCAGTCTCACCATCCGCCCAGGCAAAATGGAAAGCCAGAAGGTGATCTCCTGCTTGCAGGCCTGCAAGGAAGGGCTGGATATTAATTCCTTGGAAAGCCTTGGCCAAGGAATAAAGGTAAGCAAGGAGCCAGCGTCTTCCCCAATAAGACATTGATTCATGATGCCTAGGCTGCCCAGTGCCAGTTCACATGGCAAGTGGAGTTTCCCAGAACGTTGCACAGAAATGGCTTCATTTCAAAGGTGCTGCCTCAGGATGGGGTGGGGAGTGGGGGTGGGGAGTCATTAGGACTATGACTTCCACAATGGACTTCTGCTGCCACCTTCTGAAACTCCTAGATCCAGCCCCTGTGCATAATTAGTCTGTTACACAAAAGTAGGCACATGTTCCATGTCTACCTGGAGGAAGCTGTTATATTTCATTTGCCTGTGGGTTGGCTGGTTGCTTTGTTGTTTATTTGCCTAAAGGAACTGCAGCATTCAAGGATGCATTTCAAAAGCATAACAAGTAAAATGTTGGGACCTTGTAAAATACAAATGATAAAGGAGAGTGAAAACCTGGGTGGGGCGGAGGTAGAGAGCAGATTGGAGGTTGCTGTGTCTCACACTGTTCCGTTGAGGTACAGACATGGCTCCAAGCCATGGGTGGCAGTCTAAAGTGACATGAGCAGTCTCATGATTTGTATTATCCATGCAAAAGAAAAATATTCAAGTGATCTAAGAGAACCAAAGGTATGTTCTGAGAAAAGCTCTTCCAGAAGGGGGCAGGGCTGGAGGTGACCGACAATGACCTCAGCAAGCACCTCTATGACAGGAGGGGTACTTTCTAGACTCACCTGGACTTAAGGGCCAGCGGCACTGGGTCCCTGGGGTCCTGGACGGAGAGCAGAGTTGACATCATTGTAACCCCACTCAACCATAATGAGCCCAGTGTGAGAAGGCAGCCTCTGTCTCCTCTCTGGAAGTTGAGACAGCCCCAGGAGGCCCCAGCAGCTGTGAGGATCTCCCTCCTTGGCCACTTCCCAAGGGAGTGTGACTAAGGCAGAGGTTTTCCAGCCCGCCTCCCACCCCTGACTCAGTGCTGCTCTCAGAGCTCTATCTTGCTCTCCCTGTCCTGGGTCTGCCTTTCCTGGATGTGGGGTGGGGGAGGGTAGTCACAGCTCCTACAGAAGTTCCCCTAGCTGTGGACCACTGCTGTCGAGCCTTGACACTGGGTAGCTTTGGAGGGGCTAGTGGTCTGAGCACACTGTGGTGTTCTTCAAATCGTAGTCACTTCAGCAAACATTCCACAGACACTCGGGTATTTTGTTCTGTTCTGCGCTGGGACACAAAAGCGAATGTTCTGAGCTCACTGTCTGCAAGGAGATATTTGTAATCCAGTTGACGACAGCTACAATGATTATGAACACTGACATTTACCGAGGGGTCTCCAAAACACCAGGCACTATCTGTTCTCAATGTTTTGTGGGTGTTAGTTCCCAGAACACTGCCAGGACATGAATATTCCGATTTTGCACATGGAGAATTGAAGACTGAAGGAGAAAGGAAACTTACATATGATTCCAGAGTCAGTGATGAGTAGAGTCAGTCCTACTCCAGAGCTCCAGAACTTGGAAGAATGGCAGTTAAGGAAAGCTCCTTGGAGGAGGTAAATCCTAAGCAGAATGTTTAAGAATAGGTAGAAATCAACCAGGAAGCCGGGCTCGGTGGCTCAGCCTGTAATCCCGCGCCTTTGGGAGG